ACACACTGAAGTATCGAAAGACTGGATGAGTTTTTTCTGTAATGTTAACTCTACCATCTAGCCTTAAACAGGATTGTTACACGCTACAACAAGGAGGAAGACTTACGTACCTAGTCTATCTTCCTCCATTAGGACTCCTTTTAACAGTTCTTCTTTTTTCAAATATTTGCAACTTTGAATAACAATGCGATCTCGAGGAAATTCTATCCACTGAATTCGGAAAAACAAAACAAAATCTAAGCTTTTTTTAATGGACATTTCCCTTTTTGGGATAAAGCCGTAGTGTTTTTGTCATAATAATTTTTACTCTATTGTCAACGGCTTTCGAGCTAAATCTCACGAAAAATATCTGCAGTCAGAGAAAAAAAATTTTTCGACTTGTAAAAGAAAGCAAAATCTTTAATGGGACATGTAAAATCCTTAAATTACACAACTACTGGAATCCTGTTGTAGGTAGCCATTTTTCTTTTGAAGAGACAGAGATTAGTCCTTTCAATCTTGAATTTCACATGGGTTAGATAATAAAACACCAAATAAACATAAATAAATATCTCAGAAAACTTCCTAATTAATTACTTTTGTTAAGACCCCTGCTAGCCAAATCTGTTTTAATGATAGAGTGTTTTCTATTATTATATTTTTGAAACAGACATCCAACAATTACTACAAAACACTTTGTTTTCCGAGGATACCTGTCTTCGATTTTCTTTCATATAGATCAAAACAGGTTATGTGGGACTGTTGTAATAATAGTAGTCATGCTTGTGCTTTTCAATAAATCATTCTAAAATCTTCTGGATTTGTCAAAATCCTTAGAAAACACAATCATTATGAATAATATAAAGAAACTCAATCAAACATACAACAAATATGTCGAATATACCTTTTTTATAGCAATGCTAATTATGAAATAACAAAACAATTTATCATAACAATAATATTTCTGAAGAATACATCTGTGTAAATATAGACCATTTTATTTTTTTTAGATTTTCAAATATTATCATTAATTATATTAATATGATATTGTCTTCAAATAGTCAGTGATACACTTAGGCATTATATGCAATAAAAAACACAACAAAACTTTTTTCAAGATAAATTTTATACTAATGGGGCGATATTATCAATAAAGTAGCAGAGATTTCTAATATTACACATGAATAATCATTCAAATACAGAATAAACACAAGTTACAGCGAGTAATCTCCACTGCTAAATTAACACTTGGAAAAAAGTGGTTTTAACAATAAATTTGAAAGATAAAATCTCTTTTGAGCCATATATTGAAGATGATAGCTTACTAAATTTTACAATTGTAACATAAAACTACAAATATTTTATGGTAATTTGGATACTACAATATGAAAATTTGTTATTAAAAATAAGCAATTAAACGAAAGGAACAACATTTTTACTTTGAATTTTGAAAATTATCAAATTTAAGGAATATTGATGTCCTATATCTCTGTTAAGTGTAAATTAACCTTAGTATACTTGGCAATTAAAACTTGAAAAGGACTCTAATAAATAAATATCCTTAGTCGCTAGTAATTATTAAAACATCTCTATTATACGTAAAAGCACCAAATTCAATTCAAGATATAGCTAACTTACATTTATCTGAGTATTATTCAGCTTTGTGGTTTGTTATAAATCTATTAAATCTTTTTAGTATTCCTAAAATAACAATAGCAATATACACTTGAATTGTTTTAATTTTCTTTTTGCCTCTAAAAGAATAAATATACTCACCGATATTAACGTCGTTACTATGTCTCTCCAAGATACTGTACCGTAATTAATTTTTGCTTTTCACTATGTTTCTAAAATAATACTTCTAATACCTCCTCAAATTTATAAAGCATGAAAATTTTGATAGTTTCGTAGTTATGTAAACATTTTCTTATTATCATTAAAATTGGAGCTTTTGCTCTTCAATGAATTAAAATATGTTCTTAGGACAGTATGCTTTATAACATAATATAAAAGATGTTTACTTATATCTGTTAGAAGTGTTTTTTGTTTTTTTAAAGATCTCTAGATATCTGATATTCAACTGTAATAATATAAAAGAATCTCATAAATGACTGTATCAATTTTCCTTATTAATTGAATACTAATTAAAAATATGCTTGGGATAAATCAATTTGAACTTACAATTTCATTTCTATGAACTTCATTTTTTTTATATAATACAGGATACGACAATCTCTTGTTAGACTAAATTCCTATGGGTCCAAAGATTTTGTATATATCATAATGAGTATGTTTTGGACATTATTTCCATTGACTATAATAAATATTATACAATAATGAATCAACTACTTCTTGTAGGTTGCGGATTGCATACATTCCAAACTAGAAGAAATGATTCACTTCCTAATACTACATAAAAACATTGATGCAATAACATCAACATCTAATACGATTAAAAAAATGAATGTCCAAATTTTTCTGATCAAAAACAACAGAAAAAAAACTGTTTTTCTTGCGCTGAAGTAATGAAAAAATGCATTTCTTTCGAAGTGAAAATAAAACATTTAACATAAACAACTTTATCTACTATGGATCGTCTTAAAAAACTTTAGCTTACGTATTGACTGGCTATTCTTCTCAACAACACCATATTAGTTTTCAAAGAAATTACAAACTTGGTATCCACTAGAATTTTCCAATCCATTTGAAACAAAAACAATAAATACCATGAATTATTGGAACAATAGCTATAGCATATTCCCCCTTGATGTCAAATCACAATTAAAATTCATAATTAAAACGTTTATAGTATCATAATTGTCTCTGCTTATTTGGAAACATCTATTAGCCCATTTTACGATGAAAGCAAGTAGAAAATTTCATGTGAGTGAGATATTTCTATTTTACTATTATGTGATCATTTAAAGGAAAATTTCTCAATGTTTGTTCCAAACAACAACAGGCAAGATGTCATGCACAAAAGTAGTGTAAAACAACATATTTGTGCCAGTTGCATAAATGTCAAAAAGGAAATTGCAAGATTTGAAAACAAAACTACTATTTACAATGAAATTATGCAATCTTAAATTCGACTACGTTATTATAGTTAAAAATGCCAAATAAGTGAATGCAAATAATTTCTAGGCTTTAGCATCTATTGCAACTGAAATATTTTGATAAATGATAAAGATTGGCAGTGTTGTATTGATGCTAACTTTAGCAAGTTAAACTTAAATCAGGTTCCATAGAGACAATAACTTATGTGGAGTTATATTTTAACACATATGATAGAATTGATGATTAGCACAGTAGTATTGAAGATAGTTGGTTTATCTTAGACAATAATGAATTTTATATCTAACATTTCTATTACTTGAGCCTTAGACAAATTGGATCTCCATTTTATTAAAAACTATGCAGAAAATATATATGGTGTTTATAAACAAACACACATTGATCCTTCACTATTTCTTTTTCTTGAAATATTTTCTTCAAAAAGTTGTTTTAATGATCTACAAAAATCACTTTTAAATAAAAAAGTAGTGATTATCTGCCTATTATTCAACAGTTTTGATAAGTATACTAATAATTAAATAAAAAGAAAATAAGGCAAAAGCTAGTGGATATTATTTTACAAATAAAATAACAGAGAGACTTTTCTTACCTATGGTTATAATATTATATATATCTAGAATATTTATTGCTATATCATAATAAATAGAATTCTAAAATTTATTAGTTCACCATTAAATAAATATGAAATCCAACCTTTATTAATGCGTTTAAATAATTTATATATTACAACATCCAAAATTTTTCACATAATACTATTAATACTTACAAATGAATAATATTTAATGACATAGTTTTTGGAAAAGATAATACAAAGTGAAATATTAAAAACTAATGGGTGTATATTATATTTCTATTATTTTGTATATTTTATTAAGTCTTAGGATATAATTAGATGTAAACATTTCAAGTATATATAATGACAGTTTGATATTATTTATTTCACACAATACATCATAACTAAAAGTTAGATTCTTATAATACGTAGTTAGATTTACAATAAGCTGTTAATAATCAGTGGTGTGTATTTGTTACTTGCTATATTGGCAATCTTACTTAAAATATACACTACCATTAGATTAATAATTAATTATACTCCCAGGAAGTACATTCCTATAATATTTAGTAACTTTGGTGGTTTCCTCATTAGAAATGTCTTCACCAAGACGCTGGATAGATTATCACCAAGTGGAATAATTTTTGGTTTATTTGTTTGAACGTTATCGAGGTCTACCTGCTCAGGTAGTTCCACAAGGTCGACAGTCTCTGGGTCTTTCGATATTCCTTTTACTTTACTCCCATTCAGCTTAGTTCTCTTAGATATAGGGTTCCCATTCAGTATTTGATTCAAAGATACAGATCTTTTCATTTTCACATCTATTGGAGTAGTTTGATTGTTTTATATTGTCTCTTTAGAGTATCAAATATGATCATTGATATATTTCAGTAGGATCTTCAGATATTTGGTCTCTACGATAGCATTGAAGGATTCCATATAGATAGTGACGTATTCTTCACAACTGAAATGAAAAAAATATCGTCCTTGAGACGCATAAAGTTGTATTTAAGAAGGTCAATAACTTATACAACCCCTGTAGTCATGCTTTTTAGGTAAAGAAAGGAAAGCGTCATGGTGATGAGAATGAAGTAGACTACTAAGGTCATGCTCGTAGTAGTAGGACAAGATTCAATATTTTTAGGTAAAAATAAATTAGACCAACTAAAAGTGTTCTGTAAATAAATTATATTTAAAAAAAATATTTTATACAAAAAGTAAATAAATAAAATCAAGGTTAGTATAAAAAAAAGAGGCATTTGTACTTGTACTAATAATCAACGGGTGCTGTAATTTTTTTATACTAACATCAGACAATCACAATAAATGATATATTACAGCGTCTGTCAATTATTAGTACAGGTTCAAATGCCTCTCTAAAACAGTATCATAATTAGATCAAATGAATAAGAGCCATTAAAATAGCGCTGAATAGAACATCTGAGGTCAAACTAGCTGCCAAACCTTCATATTTTGCAACTGTAACACTTTCCGCAGAATTAGAAGAAGAAGTAGCAACACCTACAGATGGAACAACATTGGAATGGGCAGATTCCATGCTTACGTCTGAAGGTGCAGTAGCAGTAGCAGCAGAAGCTGTAACAGAACCTGTCTTAGCACTTTCTGGACATGAAGGAGTGTATGTAGTGATAACAACACCGTCTGTAGTATAAACTGTACTAACTCTCAACACTGGTTCACCATGTAGGACAGTTTGACTGTTTTGGGAAGAAAATGAAGTGGTAGCGGTGGATAGTGAGCAAACTGGACATTCAGTGACATCTACCATGTGTGTGCTCTTAACAGTAGTGGTTGTCACGGAGTGAGCAACATTTGTTTTAGCAGATGCAGCTTCACCAGCAGCATGTGCATTACCATTGGCACTAATAGTAGAACCATTACTGTTGCTTGGAGTAGATGTTGTTGCAGTAGTAGCTGATCTGTCAGTGGCATCCATAGCAGAACTATGACTGTTACTCGAAGTAGATTTCTTAGAAGTGGAAGTTGATCTGTCAGTAGCATCCATAGCAGAATTATGACTGTTTGAAGTAGATTTTTTAGAAGTGGAAGTTGATCTGTCAGTAGCATCCATAGTAGAATTATGACTGTTGCTTGGAGTAGATGTTGTTGCAGTAGTAGCTGATCTGTCAGTGGCATCCATAGCAGAACTATGACTGTTACTCGAAGTAGATTTCTTAGAAGTGGAAGTTGATCTGTCAGTAGCATCCATAGCAGAACCATTACTGTTACTTGAAGTAGATTTCTTGGAAGTGATGATTGATCTGTCAGTAGTATTCATATCAGAACCATTACTATTGCTAGAGGTAGATTTCTTAGAAGTGATGGTTGATCTGTTAGTAGCATCCATAGTAGAAGCATGACTGTTTGAAGTAGATTTCTTAGAAATGACAGTTGATCTGTCAGTGGTATTCATAGCAGAACTATGACTGTTACTCGAGGTAGATTTGTTAGAAGTGGTAGTTGATCTGTCAGTATTATTCATAGCAGAACCATTACTGCTGCTAGAGGTAAATTTCTTAGAAGTGATGGTTGATCTGTTAGTAGCATCCATAGTAGAAGCATGACTGTTACTCGAGGTAGATTTGTTAGAAGTGGTAGTTGATCTGTCAGTATTATTCATAGCAGAACCATTACTGCTGCTAGAGGTAGATTTCTTAGAAGTGATGGTTGATCTGTTAGTAGCATCCATAGTAGAACCATTACTGCTGCTAGAGGTAGATTTCTTAGAAGTGATGGTTGATCTGTTAGTAGCATCCATAGTAGAAGCATGACTGTTTGAAGTAGATTTGTTAGAAGTAGTGGTTGATCTGTCAGTGGCATCAATAGTAGAACTATGACTGATTGAGGTAGATTTTTTAGAAGTGATGATTGATCTGTCAGTGGCATCTATACTAGAACCATGACTGATTGAGGTAGATTTGTTAGAAGTGGTAGTTGATCTGTCAGTGGTATTCATAGCAGAACCATTACTGCTGCTAGAGGTAGATTTCTTAGAAGTGGAGGTTGATCTGTCAGTAGTATTCATAACAGAACCATTACTGTTGCTAGAGGTAGATTTGCTGGAAGTGGTAGTTGATCTGTCAGTAGCATCCATAGTAGAACCATGACTGTTGCTTGGAGTAGATTTTTCAGAAGTGATGGTTGATCTGTCAGTAGCATCAATAGCAGAACCATGACTGATTGAGGTAGATTTGTTAGAAGTGGTGGTCGATCTGTCAGTAGCATCAATAGCAGAACCATGACTGATTGAGGCAGAGTTTTTAGAAGTGATGATTGATCTGTCCGTAGCATCTATAGTAGAACTATGACTGATTGAGACAGATTTCTTAGAAGTGGAGGTTGATCTGTCAGTGGCATCTATAGCAGAACCATGACTGATTGAGGTAGATTTTTTAGAAATGGTGGTTGGTCTGTCAGTAGTATTCATAGCAGAACCATGACTGTTACTTGGAGTAGATTTTTCAGAAGTGGAGGTTGATCTGTCAGTAGCATCAATAGTAGAACCATTACTGTTTGAAGTAGATTTCTTAGAAATGATGATTGGTCTGTGAGTAGCATCCATAGCAGAACTATGACTGATTGAGGTAGATTTCTTAGAAATGACAGTTGATCTGTCAGTGGTATTCATAGCAGAAGCATGACTGTTGCTTGAGATAGATTTCTCAGAAGTGATGGTTGATCTGCTAGTAGCATCAACAGCAGAACCATTACTGTTGCTTGGGGTAGTTGTTGTTGCAGTGGTAGTTAAACTGTCAGTGGCACTTAAATAAGTAAACTGGGCTGTTGATGGAAAGAAGTCTGACCAATCTCCAAAAGGTATTGTGTAAACAGGGTTAGGATTTGATGTCGGAGTTATAGTAATTGGAGCTATAGTATGTGTTTTTTGATATAGAGACATAGATGTCCAATTTATGGGGGCGGTTACCGAATGAAGTGTTGACCAATGAAGACTTTTATAAGCTGGTTTCAGAGGCATAACATTTTCAGGGAATTGACCAAACATATTACCAGCAGGTAAGTACTGACACACAACAAAGTATTGATTGGGCGAACCGTCAAAAGCGGGCCAAAATAAATTTGCAGCACAACCAACCTCTGTGGTGGATCTCCAAACAAGCTGTGTAAAATGTACAGTTGGCCAGGAAAAGCCAGGATGGCTGTAATTATAACTATTAATTTCATCAAACCACATGTCTACAGCACCGACTGGATTAGCAGCAGCTCCTGCGTACATGCTTTTACCAATATTGTAGCCGTAATCTGGAGGGTCTTCTGCAACGTCCTTGTATACATCAAATTTGCAAGCCCATCACGCAGCCCGTTTGGCTAAAGCATCAGACCAGGTCAAATTAGGAGTGTCAACAAACATAGATCTGTACAAATTATGTTCGAGAAGAACAGCAGCCTGTTGCTCTGGTGTCAACAAACACTTAGCATCATTAGATGCATTATACGGATTATTAAAAATTATTCTGTCCACTGTTACAATAGGACCCTCACCTTCAGTAGTAGTCGGATTCCAATAAGTAGGAAATGGTTCAGTATAACTAGAAACAACATAAGATACTTGCGCCTTCGATACAGCAGAAAAAGCAGCCAAAAGCAGTGCAGTGCACAATGATAAGGCACTTGAGACCATTATATTATTTTCAAATATTCAAAATTATTAACCTTTCAGTAAAATATATAGTTTGGTGAGTATACTTTATGGCGTTAGTTTTTTGGTTATTTGAGGTGATTCACTTAGTTCGGTTATACTGGTAGCATCTGGGAGTATAACGAGATGATGCTCATGCCTGCAAGAAGAGAAGCAAGAAACGAAAGAATATTCAGACATAATCCATAGTAGTTTTATATAAAAATGTGCTCATGACTTGCAATAAAAATGATTGTCTAATAGGTTCTAAATTTTTGACTGAACCAGAATAAAATATAAATAAAGTTTTGCAATAAATCTTCAATGATAAAAGTGTGTAAAGGAGTAGAAACAAAGAATGAAGAAAAAGATCTGTAATCTTCAACAATTGGACTAAAAATCTAAGTAAAGCACAAAAACACAGCATAGCTGATCATTTTATTATCTCTAATAGGAAAAATATCACTGTGTGGTAGTTTCTTTAAACAAAAAAGGAAACAGAAAATGTTGAGTTCTCGAAAACATTTCCAAATGGAGAATTAAAAATATTGTTTATTGTTTGGGCATTTTCACATTGCAGAACAATAGAATCAGTTTTGTCTAGATACTTTACTTTTGAAGAACATAAAAGGGAAAGTTTACAAATTTAAGAATGGACAAATAGTTTTTTTTCCTTTTTGCTGTTGTGTTGGAAACACTCGTCTTTGTATTTGATGCAACGACAAAAAGAATAAAAGTGAAGAAAAAAATTACACAAGTGGGAAAAGAGACAATACAGACAATTCTAACCACACTATAGATATACATGTCTCTTTGTATTCTATTTTTAAATTTTTGCCCCTGAATTATTTTAGAGAATCCCCACTCTTACAGGATCATCGCCCCTGATTAGTTAGTTATTTGGTGTCTATATTTCTTTTATACATATCACAATATTCTATAGTAAATCGATCTATAGAATGTTCAAAATTTATTACTTCATTCACAATAGAATATTAAAATTTTTGGCAGTGACCGTGGGATCGAATAGGAATGTATAATTTAAAAAAGGGGTAAAGAATTTTTATTGCATTGTTACTGTTTATACATAAGTTATATAAAGTTATATACTATAAGAACCATCAACAATTTTTTTTCTTTTTTTAGTTCGTATTGCAAGGATCAGCACCTTATATGACGTTAGCATGTAGTAAAATTGTTCTTTTGTTAACCAAGAATTTATTATTTAAAGTTATTATTGTTCTATTAGAACATCTATTATGATAGAGATCTAAAATAT